TACTGTTAACCAACTACTGAGTATTTATTTATACCTTTTTTATATTGCATTTAAAATAAAGTTATTTAAAGTAGTGAGCAGGTAGCCCTATAATGAAATTACTTCAGACGATGCTTTAATATTCCCCTCAGTCTTCTCAGCAAATACTTTTTCTACTTTGAGATGAAAGGAAATTGCTTCTAGAAGAAACACTGTCTTCAGTCATATGTCAGAAAGGTCCTTACAGTCGTGTCTTACAGAGTTGACTAGCACTCTCTAGTGGGATTTTATTCCTCTGTATGTGCCTGAAAAGTGATATGTTGGATCAGATCTCCAGTTACTGTAATTCTTAGTCCTCAGGGTGTTTTTTAAAAAATATATATTATTTTGTTCATTCTGAACAGAAAGAGAGAGAAATACTAAAGTGGTTTCAGTAAAGGCCTTCCAAATACTTAGGTAGTATTCCCAGTTAACTAGGTTGCCTTGTTGTTAGCCGTGGCAATTTTAATATTAGAATCTCTCTGCAATGTTGAGAGGTTTTGAAATTATTATTCTTAATGTAACAGTGGAGATACTGGCTCATTGTTCAAATAACTTAGGAACATGGGTTAATACCTTGTGTTGGAATAATACTCTGTGTAGGATGTCTCTTCAGGATCTGTGGAAAAAGATCACCATGAATTATGATGAAGAGATACTGGTATAAATGATCAGAAATGTGTAGTCACTAAAGAATAGATGCTACTTTTCCTTTCATCAACTCAGAGCCCAAAGTAGCATTATCAGTCATAGAACTTAGGTTCTCAAGTCCTGCTAGAGTCATGTCCCCAATTTATACCCTGTTTGTGAGGACTTTTACTTGGGGAAATTAAATTTACGTAACCATGTTCTGTGTTATGTGCAGTATTATGCCAGGCTTTCAGTGGAAACTTCTTGATGGTAGAAGTGTGCTCAATGGTACTTGAGTTGATTCTTGCTCTTCTGACTTTGATGTTAAACAGTGGTATTTCTTTAACAAGCGCTGAGAAAGGACATAAGTCTTCACTTACATGTGTGTCTCTTCTAAGGCTGCATGTTTTATAGAACAGGTGGCAAAAGCTGAAGATGTGCTATTGCCTCTGCCAGATCACAACTTCAAATGGTGATGGGACACCAAAGTTGGAGGCAAATCAAGATCTTTTGCATATCTGATTGTTCTCTGTGCTGAAGGTTTTGGTATTCATTGACACAGACTCTTAATTTTTTTATATTGATTTTTTTAATATATATTGTTGCCAGTGGTCAAAAATCACCAGGGACTAGTTGCCTCTCCCTTTAGGCAGTGGACCTATTCTCCAGCTGCAGGAGTGAAGAACTCCACGTCAGTCAAATATCATATCAGGATTAGGAATACAGAGAAATCGTCTGAGCAGCCAGGGATCAGGTTAGGAAAGCTAAAGCCCTGATAGAATTATATCTGGTCAGGGATGTCAAGGGCAATAAAAAAAGCTTCTCTAAGTGTGTCAGTAATAAAAGAAAGACGGGGGAAAATGTGGGCCCTCTCCGGAAGGAAACAGGAGACCTGGTTACCCGGAATATGGAGAAGGCTGAGGTAGTCAATGACTTTTTTGCCTCAGTTGTCACCAGCAAGTGCTCTAGCCACACCACCCAAGTCGCAGAGTGTGAAGACAGGGACTGAGAGAATGAAGAACTGCCCGTTGTAGGAGAAGATCAGGTTTGAGATCATCTAAGGAACCTGAAGGTGCACAAGTCCATGGGACCTGTTAAGATGCATCCGCGGGTCCTAAGGGAACTGATGGATGACGTTGCTAAGCCACTATCGATCATATTTGAGGCCGCACTCAGACAGTTGCGATCAACGGCTTGATGTCCAAGTGGAGACCAGTGACAAGTAATGTTCCTCAGGGGTTGGTATTGGGACCGGTGCTGTTTAACATCTTTGTCGGCAACATGGACAGTGGGATTGAGTGCACCTTCGGCAAGTTTGCTGATGACACCAAGCTGTGTGGTGCGGTCGACATGTTGGAGGGAAGGGGATGCCATCCAGAGGGACCTTGACAGGCTGGAGAGGTGGGCCTGTGTGAACCTCGTGAAGTTCAACAAGGCCAAGTGCAAGGTCCTGCACGTGGGTCAGGGCAATCCCAAGCACAAATACAGGCTGGGCGGAGAATGGATTGAGAACAGGAGGAGGACTAGGGGGTGTTGGTTGATGAGAAACTCAACACGACCCAGCAATGTGGGCTTGCAGCCCAGAAATCCAACCGTATCCTGGGCTGCATCAAAAGAAGCGTGGCCAGCACAGCGAGGGAGGGGATTCTCCCCCTCTACTCCACTCTTGTGGGCCCCCAACGTAAGAAGGACATGGACCTGCTGGAGTGAGTCCAGAGGAGGCCATGAAGATGCTCAGAGGCCTGGAGCACCTCTCTTACAAGGACAGGCTGAGAGAGTTGGGGTTGCTCAGCCTGGAGAAGAGAAGGCTCTGGGGAGACCTTACCACAGACTTCCAGTACCTGAAGGGGGCCTACAGGAAAGCTGGAGAGGGACTTTTTACAAGGGCTCATAGTGATAGAACAAGGGGTGATGGCTTTAAACTGAAAGAGGGTAGATTTAGATTAGGTATAAAGAAGAAATTCTTCACTCCGAGGGTGGTGAGGCACTGGCACAGGTTGCCCAGAGAAGCTGTGGGTGCCCCATCCCTGGCAGCGCTCAAGGCCAGGCTGGATGGGGCTTTGAGCAGCCTGGTCTGGGGGAAGGTGTCCCTGCCCGTGGCAGGGGGGCTGGAACCAGGTGAGCTTTAAGGTCCCTTCCAACCCAAACTATTCTATGATTCTATGATTAATTTGTGTTAGGCAGATATAGCTAGTGATGGGGCATTTTAAAGAAATCACTCTTCCTCTCTCCCCTTCCCTCTAACCCTAACTTCTGTCTGCCCATTTAGAGATGAGATTTATGGTGCTTCCATCCTGTTAGGCTCTAAATAGACCTTCTTCCCGTTTGGAAATAGAGCTATGAATCTTTAGTATTGATATTAAGGTCGTAGGAAAAGCACTTTTTATGTTGGGAAATTTATCCTTCCCTGTGAAGAACTGACAACTGAAACTTGAGCAAGACCTATCAGACGTATTTAGTTTCTGCAGATCACACAAATGCAAGAATCTTTTCGGTTTGCTTCGGAGGAACTTACCAACTTAGTCATAATTGTTTAATAAACAAGCTTCTCCCTGCTGCAAATGAAGCATGATTTTTTTCCCCTGTTCCATAATTTTAATTGTCAGCTAAAATGCTATTTCTCACACACACTCTGCTCTCAACCTTGTTAAAATTAAGCATATAATCCCCTTTTAAAACACCATACTAAAATCACCATAGTAACATTATATCCAAGCTTTACAGATAAAACACAACACCAGTAAGGGATTTTTTGGTATCCCCGAGCAGCTCAGTATGGTTTATGGAAATGGTTGCTCTGTTGACATTTAGAATTCGGTAGGATGATAGTACTTACGCTGTCTACTTCTCAGACTACTGAAATGCTTTTAAACATCTGGTTTTTTGTTCATCTGTGAATTTGGAGCACTTTTTTTCATCTTCATCACTGCAAGTTTTTCCTTCCCTGTCTGGAATCCACTGAAGGATTCCTCTTTCTAAGCGGGACAGTGACATCTTTCCAATCCGGATCCAACTTTTATTTCTGAAAGTCTGTTTTTCTTTTTTTTTCTTTAAACACTGAGTGTATAATCTCCCACATAAATTGTTTATTGTGTTGTATATGGCATCGTAGAAGAGAGTATTTGCTCGCTTTTAAGGCTTGTGACTGTTAGTTAAATGGCCTTGAATTGACTGGGGTTTGTTGTTGCTGCTGGTAGGACTGACTAGTAAAGGTGCACGTGGAAATGCTAGCCAGTTTTCTCAGTTCTCTGTAAACCTAAAATAAACTAGAACATAACCTGAAATAAGTGTTAATTTCATATTGTTATGAGGTCTCAAATAGATCCAAAATGGGCATGAAAAGTCCTCTAATAATTATATTAGTCCCAGCTTTACCACTAAATGTCAAAATTTCTGTTAAACAGTAAAACTACATCTCTACAAAGTGGGATGTGAATTGGGCTTGGTTTCCATGGAATATACCATCGCTGTACAGAGGCATTTGATTACCTTTAGGCAAATGTGGTAATAGCTCAAGAATGTCTGTCATTTTGTTAATAAATAGCGTTCAGAAAGTGCCGTGCTTTAAATGTAAAGCATCTTATTTTGATCTTATCTTGCTATTTTGAGCATCACCTATTAGTTGTAAAATACGGATGTGAATTAGAGTATTTTTAAAGACATGAATTTTTAAATGCTGGGGTTTTGGGGTTGTTTTGTTTGTTTGGGTGGTTTGGTTCTTGTTTTTTGTGTCGTTTGTGTTTTTGTCTTTTGTTTTGGTGGTGGTTGTTGTTGGTTGTGTTTTTTTGTTTTGTTTTCCAAAACTGTGTTTTTCCAATTTGAGCAAATTTTCCTATAGTGATACTTTCCACTGTGGTGTGAGTGGGAGCCAACATCTAAGAATGTTATTAGCTCACTTGTGCCATTCTTGAAGAGCTGTTAAGATCTTGCAGATGAGGCAAATGACTCTTAATTTTGAAAAATCATATAGAAGTCCTACAAAATTATTTTTATAGTCATGTCTGGCTTTAGCGCAGTGTGCTTTTGATTCTAGTTTATCTTGTCTTCCTTTGCACACTATTCTAGTCTTTCTTTTAGCTGATTGCCTAGCTGCTAGAGTAAAGGAAAGTCACCTGCCATGGTTCCAGTTGCTGAACATTTTGGAGTGATGTATCTGGCATACATGCAAAATTGGTAGATGGACAATAAAGCTTCTACAAGTCAATATCCAAATGTTAAAGAAGCTTAACATGTTATTAAACATTGTCTTGCTCTTGGAGTAAACCAATTCTCGAATGAAGGTAATAAAGAAATATTTTGGGTTATGTGACAACATAGGTTTGGTTTGTACAGTGAGTACTGTGTTGAAGATGGTTGATAGTTGCAACCGTTTTCATTTAAAGATAAATGTGTTTTTAGTACCCTCCCACACTTACAATGGGACACCCCCCCCCCCAACCCCCCCCCCCTCCCCAAGCAACTAGCATATTTAAGTTTCTAGAGGGTGTATACTCTCAAAGTTTGTTTCTCAAAAAAAACCTCTGCTGAAAGAGGAAACGTTATAGGTTCATTGACTTAGACTAGATACTTTTGACACAGAGTTAGCTCAGCATTAATTTTTTCTTCTTTATTCTCTTTATTTTCAGCCATGCAGTTAACCAAGTTGGGCAGAACTTTACATTTGTGCTTACAGACATTGACAGCAAACAGAGGTTCGGATTCTGTCGCTTATCTTCTGGGGCCAAGAGCTGCTTCTGTATCTTAAGGTAGGTCTGTGGTTTGGCTTTTGGCTGACTCTAGGAATCAGTGTTTGCCTTTGCTGTGTGACACTGCAATTATAATTTCCAGCTGTTCAAAATTATTTTCCTATCTGGTCCTCAAAGTCACTGCTCTTCTGCAGAAGTGATGCAAAATATCTTGCACTTCGAGTTCCTCTGTAGATAACTATGTTTGTTTGTAGTCAATGTTCTTGAGTTAACAATGTGGAAAAAAAAAGTCGCTCTGCAGTAATTTGATATGACATAGCATGATGGCAGCTGTTATCTTTAGCTGTCACAACTGATCTTGTTAAGACATTTTGTGGACATTTGTATATGCAAGTTTTATTAACAAAGCATCTGTTGGTAGCTGAGAGAATGTCATTGATGCTGTCCACATCCTAAAAGTTTGTATGTATGAGCTTTAGTCTGCCCTAGTGAGGGTTTTGTGAAGTTTGTTGTAATAAAGGCTGTTTGTGGAGGTTGGAAACAATGCATTTCACATAAAACGGGCAAAGAGACTCTATCAGAGTAGCTTTTGATGACCTCCCACAGACGTGTTGGAATACAGTCTGTAATTTTCTATTTACTTTTGCTGCAAGAAATGATGCAAGTAAAATCAGTTTTAATATCTACCAATATATTAGTCCATTAAGAACTTCTGTGGGTTTCCACATGGCATCTGACCTGTCTTGTTTTAAACAAATTTAACAATGGTCTGTCTTCTGCTTTCTGCTTTTTCCGTGTTCATGAGAAATTGGAAGTTTCGGAGCAATGGCCCAGGTAAAGATAGGTCAGCATTAACTGTATGAACAGCCAGCTAGGTGACTGAACAACTGCTCAAGCAATCACAAATGAGGACAATTTCCTCTATGAGCAATTGCAGGCATCTGTCTCAGTTGTCTCTGGTTTGCTTTTCACGTGAGAGAATCCAGTGTAAGAACAAGAAGAACTTGCCTTTTTCCGACGCGTACTGCGTATTGCACATGACAGAATGGGACCTTCTGTATATATGTTACTGAATATGACCCCTCTGGAGAATTTCAGGGATTGCAAAAATATAAGAGCACCTACCAAGAACAAGGGCACTTCTCATTTCATTGGGTTGCATACAGCAATGCCATGGAATAGATTTTGGACTGATGTGCGTATTTAAAGTGAATATGTCTGTGCCATTTGTGCTGGCACTGGACTGGTGAAGACATCAAATGTTTGTTGCCTTGTACTTCAGCATTATACTGACGGCAGCGATCTGCTAACTAGGCCTTCATTGAAGAAGCTTAATATTTGGAGAATTTATTGTGAAATCTTGCAAAATTGCTAATTAATTTTGTGAGAGGCAAGGTGACAGGTGCTTTCTCAGTATTTTCCTTCATTCCTTCTTTTCTGTAGTAGACATTTCAACTATTACCAGCCCTGGCAAGCCAGCAACACGGGCCGTGTACTGAGGACAGGACGTATTTCCCTGGCTGCTTCCCCGTAGCTGCTGCCCTGTAGGGTTGGGGTGCTGATTCACTCCCCTGTGGGAAGGGTCTGGTTACGTAAGGGAGCTGTTCCTGATTAATGACAAATTAAAGGGGAAACACAGTTTATAAAGAAAATCTGAATGAGGAGTAGTATGAGTCCCTTCTTGATCTCTCCTGGATAAGAGTTCTTTGCTGTCAGCTCCCTTATGTTGAGTGAATGCCAGGAAGAAATGGAGGAGTTATGTTGTAGTTAAATGCCTTCTGCTTCAACTCATAACCAAAAAAAAAAAAAAAATCCAAAAACCAACCAAAAAAAACTTTCAGTGCAGTTACAGCAGTGGATGAATTGGGACTCTTTGCTTTGTTCCTATTGCTTCTTTCTCCTGTGAATTAATGAGAAAATGAAATTTCATCTCATCATTAATGCAAGTGAATGTAAGTTCTAGAGGATAATAAAGAATGTAAATCAGCATTACACAGATTCACTTGCTCTGTTCCGAGGACTGCAGCACCATCGTCAATGTGAATCTTCTCAGTGTCCTTTATGAATTAAAGGATGCTACATGGTAAATGGATGGGTCAAAACATGCTGAAGAATGTGAGAATGATACAAAAAAGCAAATGGGGAGGAAAAGAATGATTGTTTGTTTGTTTATTTGTTTTTAAATTATAGGTTGGATAGCAGCAAGCTTCAAGTATGCATTGCTATGCTCAGCGATAGTATAAGAATTGATATTTTTTATTATTAGAAATGATATTCACGTGTTTATCAGTTAGAGATTTTATGGGTCTGGCCATGGTAAAATGTTTTGGAGGTGGAAAATCATCACATGTTTAGATTCATTATTGAAGATGAGCAGGAGAAAACGGAAATTCTTTTCACTCAGCTGGTGCTTTAAAAAAATTTCTGCAGAGATCTGGAAGGAAAGTGCAAAGCTGAGAGAGTACTCAGAAGGGCAGAAGTCAAGGTCTGGACTTTGACTTCTAAAGTTAAAGTGACCCGGAGACTTTTTCATGTGGATGCAAAGTACAGTAAGGCACCTCTTGGAGTTCAATAGCCGTGAAGTTATCCACGTGGATGCAGCTCTTGTGGCCAGCAGAAAGGCGACTCCATTTTACAAAGTAACTCTTTTGGCTGTTTTAACCAGTAGTGTTTAGAAATCTGCTTTCAAGGTAGTTTTCGTAGTTTTGTTCCTGCTGTGGATAGCATCAGACAGATTTATGGATATCTTTGATTACGTTTAAAAACTGCATCTTCTGGGTGTTCTGTGGTTTTCTTTCCATGTCGAACCACCGAGTCTGTTTCCCTTATTCCATTTCCTTTTTTCTTCACTTGATTTCTAGCTAATGATGAAACTACAATGATCCAATATTGTATGTAACAGAGTTGTAGAGCGCTCTGTAGCATAGATGACTACTTTCTGCATTTCAGACAGCAGAGGGCGGACAAAAGCACAAAACAAGTGGCACAGATGGTCTGGGGGGGATTGAGGTTGTAAACAGTGAAGTGAATTAAAAAAAACCCCACAAGCTCACCTACCACACATCAAAATCTCCTGGGTAACTTGGAATTCTGGACTACCTTTTTCAATGCAACATGTTACAAAATTTAAAATACGTTTTTTAACTCTTTTCTAAGTTATGAATGCATAGTAAGTTGAGAGTTAATGTCCAAGTCATCAAATTCCGAGTTTGAATTTTAATACCCTAGAAAAATTTCCATGCCCAAAGAATTTTTTCTTTCTAAGACTTCATTTAAGCACATCAGGATTTTGGCTGAAATAAAATAAATCCTATTGGATATGCATTGAGAAGCTGAATTTTTTTTGTTTCTAGAGGTTTGCTTTAATTTAACTTCGCATCAGATTTGGCATGAGCTTTTGAGGGTGAACGATATAGATAGTTCTGAATTTAGTGAAGAGCTTTAGTCTTCTATTTAAAAAAAAAAAAAAAAAGGTATGGAGACATTCCCAAACTGCTGTTGCTCACTCTGAGACATCATCTTCAGCTCCTTAATCAGGCATGTCCCCTAGGTTTGTTCTGGAATTTGTATACTCTTGTTTGTCCTCTTTTCTAAATCTTCTATGTATGTAGAGAGGTAGCATTCTTTCATTAGGGCAAAGGAGTCTGGAAGGTGTCAAAGAGGTCCAGAATTTGTTCTTGATAGCTATTTCCTGCTAAGTGCAATGTACTGAAAGGTGATTAAACGTACCGATCTACTGATACGATCTCATTGATAAGAAATAAAATAACAGTATAAGTTTATCTTTCTGCTTTTGTATATTCTTGAAGCATATGGATGCTTTCTGATTCCCAAGAATTCTGCATGCTGAGGCTCTTAATTGTTTTAATGTTAGATCTCCTTACTAGCTTATTCATTTTTTCAAATTTCTAGCAACTCTAGCTGTACTGAATTCTCCAGAAGCCGGTTTGTTGGTTACAGTGTGGACAGTGTTGTTCAGTGCCTCGGCTGGATTTGCCTCTTTGGCTGACTCCTGTGATCTAGAACTCGAGAGGCACAGCCATTGATGGATTTCAGCATTCTTTTGGGGGACAAGTAATGCATAAACCAGTTTGTATTAGTATCCATAAGTGTACTGAAAGCAGTAGAATGTTTTATTTTACAATCTGTTTTCTCAAAGCTTAAGTGGATAAACACTTTTGTATGTGGTCTGCTCATAGGGGGACAGAGTTAAAAACCTCATAGCTGAAATTACTATAAGAGTGATACTTCCACTTGTACTGTTTCTAATGGTCTGAAGATGGGTGAAGAAAATAAAGATAGAGTACATAAAGCTCTGAAGAGACTGCTGAACATATGAAATTCTAAATTCTATGGAGACATTGAAACATGAAATTCCTTTTTTTTTCCCCTCTCCCTTCAGAGAAAGCAATCAAGTTCTTGTGTGAAGACATTATTTCAAAGTGCATATCAGTTTTCATTGTAGCTGTTTTATTTGTCCTGACTTTTATATGTTGTAGAATCTCAGACTCTTGACAACTTCGTCTTTCTGTGCAATCATGAAGGAAGAGAAAGTTCTGCTTTATGAGTATAAAAACTGTTGTTAACTCAGTCCAAATACTTTTTTTTGGTACACTTATTGCAGAATGTTTATATAATAAAATTAACAAATTTAATTTTTTAAAATATTTTTGTCTCCTGAAATATTTTCAGAATTCAATGTAAGGACCCAGTTACCGATGCTTTAAAAAGTCTTCATATTATAAACAGATAGGATCCAGTAATTTCTTCAAATGTGTGTTTATTTTATATTCTGACTATTTAAAATAAGTTACATGTTTATGAAACACACTGCTTTGAAATAAAAAATAATGGCAATGTTGAATGTATGATAATTGTGCTCTTCAAAACCATTTGGCAGAATGGTTTGGAGGTAACGTTCATGCTGTTATTTAATTTGCTTCATAGTCCCTTATTTTTGAGTTAAGATTCTGAGGCCAGTAATGTGAAAAATTGAATGAAAAACACTCTGAAAGAAAAATGTATCTAAAAAAGCCCCCCCAAAACCCCCCCAAAACCCC